AAAGAAAATGAAAACGGTTCCTTTGAGTATGCACCACATTCACTATAAAAATGGCAACACTTGCATTTTAATCCCACAAATCAATTTAGAAAGCTGTGGGTGAGTTTTCTGGTTGTTACTTCAAGAAATAGAAATAATTACTCAAGGAAGATTAGGGTTTAAATAGTCTTATAAGACAAAAATACTATTTAAGTCTCATTAAATTTAATCAAAAGGATAATGAAAGGCTTAAAATTAAAAGGAATTAAATTTTCTCAGCTCAAAATGAGGCCCCATGGAAAAGAGAGTTTTATTTATGAACTTATTTGGATTATTTTAAATGTGCTGATTTCCTCATATTTTCCAATTTGTGTCAATATACGAAAGATGTATGTGCATCATAAGAGGACATCCAATGGCTTGACAGTCATGGAAAATGCTCAATATCGTAACTGGATAAATAATTCAAATCATAATTTCTTGCTCATCCAAATAGCATTATTTTTAATGAAATTGTAATATTCAGTTCTTCCTGGAATATTTATTGTTTCATTCATTTTTAGTTAGGATCTATCTCAGTTCCCTGTTTCTGAGATTTAAGTTGGCTTTTTATGTTATCATTAAATCTCCTATCTTTTGACCTAGACCTTCTACTTATGAAACTCTATCTCAAGAAATAATCCTAAATCCAGAAAAATATTTATGTATAAAGATGGTCTTTATAATAATGATAAATTTGGAACAGCTTAAGTGATTACTGTTAGGAAGTGACTAAATCAATTGTGACGCATTTACTTGAAGGAATTTATTACAGTCACTAACTATGTAAGGCATATCATGACAGAGGACTAATGTCACACCATAGCAGATTTTATACTGTGAAGTGGGAAAAGCATGCTATAAAATTACATTCACTTTATAACAACATTAAAAATTCTATACACCGAAACTAGCCTGGAAAAATACACACTGAAATATTACCTTTAGATCATAGGTGAGCTTTCTATCTTAATTTTCTTTTTTTTTTTGGTACCAGGGATCGAACTCGGGACCTTCTGCTTTTGAGGCAGGCGGCAGAACCACTGAGCTAAATCCCCTGCCCTATCTTTTTTCATTAGTAAAAGTTTTAGTACCTAATTCCCTGTGGGGAATTCATACATGTACACATTGCATCTTAATTCCTGTTTTCAATCCCATTCTCTTCCCTCCCTCTCCCCTCTATCCATCCCGTTATCCCTTTCTGTTTTTTCTGTACAAGTTTGCAATGTACAATGTTTACAGCCTTTTTGTGGAGTTGGTTCGTGTACATAATACATCTTAATTCCTTTTTCATCCCCTTTTCCCTCCTTTCTTTCCCTCCTTCCTCCCTGTCTTAATCTCCTTCCCCTTTGAGAAAGACGTATCTCCCTACAACCCATTGTCTTTTTTTGTTGTTTTGTTTTGTTTTATTTTTTTGAAGTAAGGTCTCTCTATGTAGTTCATTCAGGATAGCCTTGAACTCACTGTGTAGCCTGGGCTGGCCTCGAATTTGTGGCATTTCTCTTGCCTCAGCCACCTGAGTGCTGGGATGACAGGCAAGCATCACCTGGCCCCTACTGTTTTTTTTTTATTTTGCTCTTTATTTATACTTTGTGTTTCTTGTATAAGAGAAACCATGCGATAATTGACCTTGTGTGTCTGATTTATTTCACTTACCATTATGGTCTCAAGGAGCATCCATTTTCTTAACCAAGTTTAGAAAGTGAGTATATATTCTCATGTTTCAAACTCGACATTTAATAATGTGATCTTTGATATGCAGGATAAACAACTGGTAGTCATACTTTTCAAACTTTAAACTTGAAAGATCACTGAAGAAAATCATAATTGAAGGAAACAGGTGGAAATAAATGCCAGTTTAAAGTATTTGTTATGTTCATTTTACCAGGATTTTAATACTGACCCTAGTAGCAAACTATATTAGCTATTTTTCAAAATAAATAATATATCATAAATTCCATGAGGGCAGAGATGATATCTTCAGTGAATGGTAGATAGTGATTATGTATAGAAGGTGTCCATAAAGAATTGATGAATAATTCGCTGGTATTATTAAAATTACTATAAAGAAAATGTTACATTAGTAGAAATCTGTTGGGTTGTGCACATCTAGCTGCAATTCCTCCTGTTTGTGTCTGTAATCCATAGTTATTTCGGGTCAGTGGCTTCTTCAGCACTTCTGTCCATGTGATCTGGCTCAAGTCTTGCCTTTACACTGATATTTTAGGTGCAGGCCACCGTGATTACATTTTGCTTGACTCTTGGAAACAAGACAAGCTCTTCCAACAAGAATTGCTAAACCAGTGGAGTGTAGTCTTGGAGCTTCTGGTGCCATCTTTGCCTCAACCCTGGGAAAACTGAGTGATAATGAAACCAACACAAAGACAGGCAGAGCTAAGAGATGCAGAGAACTTCTGCCTGACTCTAGGACATTCCCGGGCTTTGCGGTTATGTGACCTAACAAATCTCTTCATGCTCAATGATTTTGCTATATTTCTCTTACACCAATTTGAGTTAGGCATGCATGCTGAATAAAAAGAGTTCTACATTATCCAAAGATAGGTGGTAACATTTCTTTTCATAGGTCTGCCAACAGTTTTGGTAATAACAGGAGTGGTCATTTCATGGAAAAGTAATCATTGTGAAATAATTGCTAGTAATTAACAGGGCACAGGCTTTAGTTTGAATTTTTAGTAAACTTTTACCCAGATAGAGTCTGAGACCAGTGGAATTGAAGGGACTTTCCACTTCCGTACCCTGAACTGCAGGGCCCATGATGTTATTTTTTACAGCTTAGACTTCTGTTTTTCCTTTTTTCATAACTTTTCTCATACTGAGAGTACTACCTGTTTTAACCCTCATAGTTTCTGTTATCTCCAGTTGTGTGTATTTAAGGCAAAGTACTTTGATACGGCTTCATCAAAATGCCCGGCATTTCTACCAAGGTAGTGTTTTAGAATAAACTGGGCCCCCAACGGGGGTCTGAGTTCTATCTGTAAATAGCTGTCTCAGAGCCTTAAACATTCAAAACCAGCCTTTTCTACAAGTTGGTCATAAACAATTCTTAAAAACTTTTTCACTGTATTTCTATAAAGCACATTATTTAAATTACTACAAAAGTATACTTTCTTTAAAGATTAAAGAAATGGTTCATGTGGGTCTTTACGTTTAAATCTCTTTGTGACCACAGATGTGTGGTGGAAACAGACGATGCAATATTTCCACACTTACAAATAAACTCTTCTACTTAAGACGCTGAACTAAGCATTTAATTATCTATTATTCAAATTGCTAGGATATTTAATATTTGCCATAGTGACTCCTTTTGCTCTAACTTTTGAACTTTTTTTGTGTTCTCATTCAAAAAGTTAACTTTTTTTTTTAATCACAAGGTTTCCAGTCTCCTTTTTCCTCTCTCAGCAGACAGGATAGAGCCTAAAATATAGACCTTTAAGAATTTGTTCAAAGAATAAATCTGTATATGGTGAACCCTTGATTTATGACTGGCCTGACATACAAACAACTTGGGTTATGATGGGAATTTTAGTTTTAACTTATAACCAAAGTCTTGAGTTATGACCCATATGCCTGTCACTTGTGCTTCCAGATGGTCTCAGATACAGATTTGACCCTTGAAGAGTTCTGGAAGGAACATGACAACATCCTTTCCTGGGTGGGGTTAGTTGAGAAATCTTGGGCCAATGTTTCTCTAAGAACACGGAGATCTGCCTGGGTACAGGAGAGAGACTTTTGAAGGCTGTGTAGGAGAGCCTGAGCCTTCAGTTGATCAACCTGAGTTACAACCAACCCTTGCAAATAAATTGAGTTTGTAAGTCAAGGGTCCATTCTATATCTTTAGATACCTTCTACAAACAAACAAACAGATAAAATAAAACTACAAGTAACACTATGGTGGCAGACAGCCTCATAATCAAATATTTACTCTCTCACTTACTCATGAACAAATGACATGTTGCTACTCCCCCATGGCTCTAGCATATTCTAAAATAGTCCTTCACTGGACTGTTTCATGGAAATACTTGTTATGGTTCCTGATTTGTAGCAGTGTGCAGTAAATATGAATTTTAGTTATCTCTCTATGCTTAAATTAAGCAGTTAACATTTAGAAATATTTATCATCTTTCACTAACTTCCACCACTGCCATTGATATCATTGAGCTCACTTGGTGCAATAGAAAAACCCAATGTTCCAGTCCTCATTACAAGAGTCATGAGTGTTTACAAAAACTAGACATGATGGCATTATTGTACCACTAGCCTAGAGTATCCAGGATATTACTTGCAATACACACATAATTATGGTGAATGAAGCAAGTCTAATGAGTCTGGGTCTCATGTATCATAGCTGTCCTAGAAAAATAGACAAGAATAAAATATATGGTTTAGTGTGTAACAAAAGAAAACAATAAAAAAATATAGAATCCCGGCTCCTTCTTTATCATTTGACATTTATTAGGTGAATATATTCTGAGAAACAACTTGTCAGGTCCAGAGGCCTAAACCCCAATACACAGAAAATCATAGGGAGTAGACACAATGGGCCTGTAAAGTTGCCAGTCTCTGTGTTATAGTGATCTGTGTGACTACACCTAAATGCTTAGATGGGGAGATAACTCCTCATGGATGTGATTACACTTGCTTATGCCTTCTGATTTGCCAATGGCAGCCAAGGAGCCATCACTTCCTCGCATGGAGTTTGTGCACACTTCACGTTTTCACCCAGGGGCAAGGCAGGTTAGGAAGGTTAAGAAGGAGGGAAGGCTGTGGGAGGAGGTAATAACTGGGAGGAATCCTTAGCATCAACCTGGGGGGAAAGGGAGGAGGGCTGAGGATGCAGGGTGTTCCCTCCTGCCTCTGCCTATGTGTTAATTGGCAGGAGAAATTTGGAAAGCTGCTGTGAGGAGGAGCCAGTGACTGGGTTTGGGGTGTTTTGAGCCTCACTCTCTCCACTTGTAGGAAAACCTCTTTACATTCAGACACAATTGGATTGGAAGGAGGAAGACGGACCCAGGAATAGGAGGAAACCATCCTCCTGCTGCTCCTCCTCCTGTCATTTATCACTTGCCTCCCGACTCTCTTCCAAAGCAAGCTCAGTTGGGCTAAGGTGGCCTCAGAACATCCAGGCAAGTGCCAGCAACTACTTGGCTGCCCTGTGCATCCTGGGCCACCCCATTAGCTGGTCACCATCCCAGGCCACTGGGACCGCTTCTGATGGCTGTGGCCTCCACTGCCCCAGGGAGCATCTTCTGTAAGCAGCTCCTTTTCTTTCTCCTGGTGAGTAACAATGAAAGGATTAGGGAATAAAGCACGTCAGTACCTGCTTCCTCTCTGTAATGTGGGCTTAACAGAGAGAAGAGGCAGAGGTGGAAAGCAGTAGTTTATACTGGGAAAACAAAAGCAGATCTAAGAAAAATTCAGGGAAAAATTTAGAGAAGTGAGATCCAAGATGAGGAATGTTTAGCTTACTCTTCCAGGGCCCATTGCCAGATGTTAAAGTTTTTCAAGGGAATCTCCTATTCAGTCTTGTTGTGGTACTTTTATGAATGGTGGAATATACTCAGTCCTTAGGCATTTGGTCCAGGAGCTCTGAGGTTTGCTTTTGCTACTAGTCATTAAATAACCTCATGTGTTTAACATGCTTCCTTCTTCTGAAATGCAAGGGAGGAAAAGGATTTTGTGGGAAGATATAAATTATCCCAGACTTTCTTAATTTATTCAGGTAGAGCTCAGGGAAAGGTGTAACTTTTACTTTAAGCAAGCTGTTTAACTCAAGAAAAATAATAAAATGAAATATGATCATTGCAAATGCCATTAACTTGAGTTCCACCTGGGTTTTTGATAGCTTTGTAACTGTGAATAAGGTGCTATTTTTTTCTTTGAGGGGAAGAGAGGAGACTTCTCACATCTTCAGGTAGCATTTGTGAGCTGTGAATTTCCTTTTTTTCAGTTTAGCAAAATATTTTAAATTCAATTTTTATTTTTAGAAATTGAAGATTTCATTGTATTATGTTAAGCTTTTTTTTTTCCATATAAATGATACATGATGCAGGGTTCATGGTCAGCTTCTCCTCCTGTAACTGGGAAGAAGAGATCTTCTTGGGTTACTATTAGTTAGGCAAAATGTGGTGGAAATATTTCCAGGGGATTCCATCAATTTCTGTTGCTTTTGGATCTTGCTTTGCCCAGTATCCCTTGATTCAACCTGTGCTCATTCATTCTTGATCCTCATGCTGACTAAAAGGGTATCTGACCACATCTCCTTCCAAATCACCTACCCACTGATTAACTTGGAGACCAACAGACTGATAAGTGGAAGCTCCCTTTGGCTCTGTCTGCAGAGGACCTCACTGAGGTGGCGTCTAGGACAGGGAGGAAAGGAGATGAGGGTGGGAGTGGGAATGTGGATATTATACGTATGCAAATATATATACCCATATGCATATGTAAGTAAATGTGCAAGTATACTCATATATGTGTGTGTGTGTATATATATATGCATGTATATTTCTAATTGCAATGTCTTCTTTCCACATTGTACATTTAGTCCACTACTGATAGAATGCTTTATCCTCAGAAAGTTCTTTAGATATAACTTAGAGAATTCCTTGGTGCTAAGGATGAACATGTTTAAAAAGTCAAATAAATAAGAATGTCTCATGTCTTAATATGTGATTATTTAAATTAAAACTGAATATAAATGTGACTTTTAAAATTCCAGCATTTCATATTACTGTCTGAAAGAGATTTGTAAAATTACAATCTATTTAAATAGGCCCCTGTAATAGAACAAATAGATTTGAACTGAGTTGGAAAAAAAATGCATACCCTTAAAATGAATGTTAATCCTTTATCTTTCTTCCTCACAAATAATGTGTTCCACAACTAAAAATTTCTTCAGAAAGAACTGAAGACAAAATTGACTCATATGGGTCTGAGAATTCTGGCTGTGATCCATTTTCAATCAAAAGGTAGTGACTTCGAAAAAATAAATGAAAGCAAATAAACAAAGTGACAGAAGAAAAATGTGTTTTCAACTATATAAGCCTTTGAGCTGATAACTTTAAATTTCAGATAGTATCTGTCTTCTTTGAACTGCCTCGTTTGTTTGTTTTGTTTTGTTTTGTTTTGTTTGCACAACTGAGAATTGAACCCATGGCCTTTGGGCTGAGCAACATTCTCAGCCCCCAGAGTGGGCTCTATCTTGTGATCCTCCTGTCTCAGCTTCCCACAATGCTGGGATTATAGGGATGCAGCACAATGCTCAGCAGAACTACTTAAGTTTTTAAAACAATAGCTGTGTCTTGAATTTAAATAAAAAACTCACCTATTTTTGAGAGTCTTTCTATTTTAAAATATATGTATTGCTGGGTATGGTGGTGCACACATGTAATCCCAGGGTTCAGGAAGCTGAGGCAGGAGGATCACTGTGAGTTCAAGGCCAGCCTGGGGTATATAGTGAATTCAAGGCCAGCCTGAACTGTATAGTGAGATCCTGTCTCAAACAAACAAACAAACAAACAAACAAACAAGTACATTTAAAAATATATTTCTTTTCAGATTAATTGTGTGATTTGAGATTATTTAGACTTTAAGCTTTGCATGGACAGTCTGAAAAGTGATTTGAAAATAAGGAATATTTGTGAGCATTATTCTTTTTTTTTTGTATTAAATTCTTTTATTGGTACATTGTAGGTATACAACACAATTACATTTCTCATTGGGAATTGTACCTTTATATAATGCATCTTGGTTCTTATTTTTTCCCCATTCCTAGCCCTCCCTTCATGCCCTCCACCCTTCCCTATTTACAAAGACTTTATTTCCATTTTTTCCATTTCTCATCATTTTTCCTTTCCCTTCTTTCCTTTCCCCTGTGCCTCCCACTACCCCTACCCCTTTGGACCTTTTCTTCCTATTTTACTTTATTGATTACTCATTCTAATCATTGGTACATTTTAGGTATACAATATAATGACATTCATCATTGGAAATTTGCACCTTTACATAGTCTCTCTTGGTTCTTATTTTTCACCCTTGCCCAGCCCTCCCTTCAACCCCTCCAGCCCTCCCTATTTACAAAAATTTTGTTCCTATTTTTCCATTTTCTCGTATTAATCCCATTCCCTTCTATCCTTTCCCCTAGCCCTCCCACTTCCTTCCCCTTTGCCCCTTTTCTTCCTATTTCACATGACCTATTATACATTTAGTCCTTGTTTACACTTTCAGTTTCTCACACTAGAGAAACTATTCGGTATTTACACATCTGTGTCCTATTTATTTCACTTAAGAGTATTGCCTCAATGAGCATTATTCTTTATGATGTTAAAAAAGTCTTGAAATATTTTCTCACATCATCACTATATTCTCAAAGAATGGAAATGATAACTTGACAATTAGTACAAATATGTGATTATTGAATTTTAGAGTCTAGTATTTTCTTCAGGCTTAATAATTAGGCTGACATTTATGAATGGTGTTAGAGGAAATAAATGCTGTATAAATTCAGTGGGTTATAACATATTTTCTTGCAATTATATACTATGCAGATTCTTAAGAACTGTCCACTTAATGTTTTCATCGATAGTAAATGATTCTAGTGTTCCCAAATCGACTTGCTTTGCTGGTTACATTTAAAATAAATATTAATAAGAGGAACAATTAAAAGACTAATTTGTTTATAAACTGACAATATTCTTATCAATAAAACAAAACTAATGTAAAATGTATGATTAAGTATAATTCCTGATTTCTTCTTTTTTTGAGGTTCTGTTATTATTTTGTGATGCTCATCAGAAGATTGTTCTCCGAGTTCCTTCCCATGTTCGGGCTAATCAAATTGTTGCCACGGGTGAGAAACTGTATTGGAAATTTAACAGTTGGAATGTGCTACATTTAGCTTCTGATTGATGTTGAAAAGTTTGGGACAAAAGCCATAAAGTAGCCCCTTGGTATTAAAACCGGCCATCCAATGAAATGTGGGTTACTTTTTTTTTACTGCTGGTTAAAAACAATTAAAATACCAAAGTTAGTCGTATACTTTTCTAGGCAGAAAAATAAGCAAATATCACAAGGTTAAATTATTTTAAGCAAGGTCCCAAAACCAGAAGCACATTTCCATTTACACCTATTAATCAAAATTCCAATGCCAATTTTGTTTAATTGATTACACATGAAACAAGGGGGGTCAGAATTTCTCAAATAAAATTTGTACTTGGGATTGACCACAAGAAACATACATTCACCAAGAATTTATATGATCTACTTCACAGCACAAATTGTGAATGTCAAAATTTTGGTGGTACTTGCTACCTCAGTCATCAATGCATACAGAGTAATGAGTTCATTAAGCTCCAAAGAGGTGTTACAGAGAGATTATCTGTAATGTAATATTAGTGAGAAATATTAAACCAAATATTAAAATAGACCAATTTTATTTTTACTTTTTGCAACAAGTTTTAGCTATCAAAGATGTACTACAATAAGTCTTAACTCTACTGAGGTCATATAGTTATAATACATGTGATGAAAAACAGTAATCTATTGATAAATTAACAATTTGTCAATATAGAACAACATATTTGTGTGTATATATATATGAATGCATATCTATCTATCTATCTATCTATGCTCCTTGACTTACAATGGTGTTACATCCTGATAAACCATTACCAGTTAAAAATATTGTAAGTAGAAACAGCATTTAATACACCTAATGCACCAAACATCATAGCTTAGCAACACAGTTCACTGCAGAGTTTCAGTTGTTTCCCTTCCTCGGTACCAGGTTCACTGAGAGTGGCAGCTCATGACTCCTGCCTGGCATTTCTACAGAGGATTCCCACCACACATTGCTAGTCTGAGAAAAGATCAAAATTAAAATTCAAAATGTAAAGTATAGCTTCTACTAATGTATAGCATATCACTTTATATCATCGTGAAGTCAAGCTATCATTATGTTGAAGACTATATATATGTGTGTGTATGTATATTAGAAAAAATAAAAATAGACTAATGCCAATGGCCCTGGGAAAATAATTCGCTTTTTAATTTATGATGAAAGTAATGAGAAATATGTGCTCACTAATTTAATTACTTCATTTTCACGGCCCCTAAGTTTTAGAAGTGCTCAGGTATAGCCGCCCTCTCTCTGCTTCTCACATGCTAATCACAGTTGTCGTTCTAGCCAAACTTGTTCTATTCCTGTTTCACTTGACATGCTGCTGTGAAATATCTTTCCTGCAGTGGATCTGAAGAAGTATGCCAAGTCAGATGTTGAAGTCTCTAGTTCCAATGCTGACAAACATGACTTCAGAGTTGATAAAAATGGCACAATTTATGCAAACCGTGACTTCCATTTGCCTCCTAAAACAACTTTTACGATTTTAATAAAAAACCGTCATACAGAGGAACAAAAAGAGGAAGATGTTGTATTGGAGCCAAGTACAGAAAAGGTATAGCAAGTATTCAAATAGTTTTGCACATTAATGTATTTATGGAACTCCTTCATTTCGTATACTTCTTTTCAGGTTAAAATTGCTATCCTTGAATAATTGTTTTTCTTTTTTACTCAGAATTAATATAAGTAAAGACTAGACTCTAGAGGAGGAGTAGAGCTATTTACAGAGCTGTATAATGATAACTGACTCTGGAAGGGAGAAAAACAGACTTTGGAAGGTCCCAGGTAGTGTTTTGAGGTGGGGCAGTGAGAACAACCAAGCTGAAGGGCAAGTGCAGGCAGGGATGGGTCCAACCTCAGTGGGAAGAGAAGCCGGCTAGGGGCGTGGCCCTCCACCCTGTGAGGCTCCCTCCCAACTCACTGTGGGTTTGAGACTCTTTTGAAAGAAGAGATCATCTAAAACTTCCTCCAGTTGCAATAGAAAATTGCATGAAGTCCCTCTCTTCAAAGGGTAAGGAAGTGGCCAGTCCAAAATACTGGTCTGCCTCAGTCCCACACTCATTCATTTATTGGTGGTATTCCTGGGAGAAGTTTGCTGGAATTCACATCTCATTTTATTTTAAGAAAATTCAGTACAGTGAATTTAGTCTTATAAAATCATTTATTAATAAATGACTCAATTTTTAAATGAATCTCCTAGCCAAATTCTTTTGACTGAAAGAACTCCTCTTCACTGAATTTAAAATATCCTTAAGTCTTAAAACACAATTTTTACTCAAGTTGTGAAGAATCTCCACATTGTAAAAAATAAAACATACTTGGGAAAATGCTGCCCTGTGTCTTCATTTGGTCTATAAATTCTTGCACCATCGAGAGAGTTTGAACAAATTTTGGTTATACCATTTCTCATGGAATAAAATCAGTTCTTAAATATGTGTTAATGGATTATCTATTGGGGGTCTATGTCAACATGACATCTTCCTCAATGCCCTATACATTTCTGATTATTAACTAGCTAAACCAGGAGACGGTCAGGAAAATAAAGTAGCCTGAGGTAAAAATTGTGTGTGAGACAGTGTATACAGGTTTTATTACTAAAAATAGAGAAGTTTCAGGGGATTATTTATAACATTATTATGTATCACCCTTACTTATTTTCTGCATATTGATGTATATGTGAAAATCACAATTCCAAGAAGAAAAGCAATGCTCATGTTACTTTTTTTTTCACCAAATGTAGTCTCGTAGGAGGAAACCTCCCCAAAACAGATCCCTTGGGCGCAGTAAGAGAAGATGGGCTCCTATTCCGTGCTCATTGATGGAGAACTCATTGGGGCCATTTCCACAACATGTCCAGCAGGTGTGTTTCATTTTTTATGTGATTTCATGTATCTTAAAGATTTTGTTGTTAAAGCTTTCCATTTGAAAGTTGCACAGTATATTGAATCAGAGCTTTAAATGACAGATAGTGATAGGATCGTCTGTTCACCTGAATCAGGGTCACATAGAAGTGACCCAATATATTTTATTGCTCTCTTCCACAAAACACATATACATTTAGAACTAAGTTTCGTATTTTGAATGTCCTGTTTCCATAGGTTTACATCCAAATCCCAAATGCTTTGCTAGACTTTTTACCACTTATGTACAAGATGTTTACAAGGTTTGCATGATTCAACTCTTACTTAAATTAACACTTAAGCTCCAAAATCTGATCACTTTTCTATTTGCCATATAAGGTTGTCTCACTGCCACATAGGTGAAATAAAGGCATGAGAGTTTTGGGATTACATGATTTTTGAAGAATAAATTTGCAAGAAAAATTCTATTACTTTCGTATTACCTTTTTAGTCATATAATTTTCAATTCCAAATAATTCAAAATCACTGAAAAGGCAACTATACTTCATATAGGAATAATGATATGTGAGTAGGGATGATATAGGCATAATACTCCACAAACCGTGTAAGTATGCAAATAATAAAATAATTTAGGATCAAACACGTGACAGTCTGTAGGGTTGCTCATTACAAAGTGCAATAAGAATTTGCAAAACATGGGAGATGGTGGATAAAAAAGCAGAGGAAAGAAATAACAGGTGAGTAGAAAAGAAAGTAAATGATAACAAGTAAAGCACACTTAGATTAGGTTGAAGGTAGCATGACAACTTTGTTCTGGCTCCAAATAGTCACTTATTCTTCTAGATTCAATCCGATGCTGCACAGAATTACACTGTCTTCTACTCCATAAGTGGACCAGGAGTCGACAAAGAGCCCTTCAACCTGTTCTACATAGAGAAAGACACTGGAGATATTTATTGCACAAGAAGCATTGACCGTGAGCAGTATGATCAGTTTTTGGTATGATTGTTGAAATATTTATTCAGAATTGTTTCTTTGTTACCTGCCTATAATATTTTGGTGGTTTTTTTTACATATTTAAAAGTTAAATATTTGATTTAATTTTTGAAATATTTTTAATATTCAGTATCAACTTCAAATTCCTAATAGTGCCATTGCTACAAAAGAGACAGTAAGTAGATAAAACAAGGAGGTAAAGATGGGGAACACAGGAAATACAATGACAGAACTTTAAAGAACAAATTCTAGTCTGCAGAATGCTGGGGAAGTAATAAAGAGTTTTACTGAGTTCACAGTTCTTTATGATAAATACCTGAATTAGCCTCAACTATGACTATATGCTATAAATCACATAAGAATTTAAAAAACAAACTGGCCACCCAACCAACCAAACAAAACGTCATGTTTGGGTTCATGCCAAGAAACTGTGACTTAATTTTTCTGGGGCCTGATCTTTAATTTGTTCTACATAGAGAAAGACACAGTCCATGAGGGGGGAGTTGTTTTGTTTTGTTTTTTGAGACATGGTCTCACATTGTAATCCAGGCTGGCCTTGCTAAGTAGCTCAGGCTGACCTCCAACTCCCAATCCTCTTGCCTCAATCTCCTGAGCACTGGGATTATAGGCACACACGACCGCGACCAGCTAGGGATATCTTTCATACAAGAAACATTATCCATGAGAATTATAATCAGTTTTTTGTAGGATTACTAAAATATTTATTCAAAATTATATCTTTATTATTGATTTATTAATATTTTCAGCATGGATTTTTCTGTTAAATATTTACTATTTTAAATATGATTAATATTTGACACATAAACTTCAAATTTTTATTGGTGTCACTGCTACAAAAGAAGACAGTAGACATAACAAAGGAAATAAAAGTAGGGGAGAGGTATAGAAAATATACGACAGAATTTTAAAGGGAAGGTTTTGATCTGCAGAATTCTGGAGAAGTAATTATTTTTATTTCATTCAAAGTTCTCTATAATAAAATATTCAATTATTTTCCACCATGATTGTATGTTGCACATGATGTGAAAGTGAAAAACTTTGAAAAAATCCAATGGGTTTTCTGGGCCTATGCTCAGAAGTTGTGACTCGATTGTTCTGGGCTGGAGCTCAGTTATTCAAGGTGATTCTTAACGTATACACACTATCATTGGATCTTCACCATGAATGTTTGGTGGTTCTATTTTTACCTCTCTCACCCACTGTTCAGCAATGAAATCCTTGGGTGTCTTCTTAGTTCTTGAGTAATCCAGAACAAATTTACCAATCTATCTTATTCTACCCCAAAACAAATTCTCTTTTGAAAACTAAATCCTTCTGTTATTGTTTCAAATTATACCTATCTCTCCTATGTTCTGATGTCTAACTTGATGTATGAGACAAATTCACAGTGGTTTTAAGGGATAACGATGACTGATACTGATTAAACTCTTGTTACCTTGAATTATAAGGGAAGGTAATAAAGAAGTTCTTTGCAAAAGGAATAACCCCAACTTCTTAACTCCCAATTCCTCTCAGTAGCTGTTTGCATTTTTCCAAAGAAGGCAGCAATTTGGCAAAATAGAGTGCAAAAGGGCTGAAAGAAATCAGGTCTTTCAGGATCCAGAAGAATTCAAAGGGGCAAGAAGATCACAATAACAAGCCTATGACCTTTAAATAACAGTTTTCTAATCTTGCTAAAAATAATTCTAATATTTCTTATTAGTCTTTTTATACTAACAATTTAAGTATACTATTTTTGCTTTTAATATAGAATAATGGGATCTAGTGTGCAAAACATTACTTTTGTTGAACTTTTTAAAGGTCTTCCTAAAGACTAAGAAAATAGAATTTGTTATTCCATTATGTCAATATGACTAGATTTTCCTAGAGAGTTGGGCTATGTTTGAATGTTTGACTAATTTCCTAGTTTAAGTTATCCTGCTTACTATAATGGTTTCAATTATAATTTATTTTGGAGATACTTGGTTCATACTTGAAACAAAATCATTGCATCTGTATCCATGGCACGTCAAGCCATACTTATGTGCAGTCAAACATAAAGGAATAGTATTTCAAAGTAAAGTATTATTCCTCTGGCCAAAAAAATCTCAAAAGTGACAGCATTTTATGAAGGAAAAGTGCACAACATCCATATGGGAAGAAAGGGAGGAGTAGAAGGAGGGCTGGGGAAGGTGATGTGTGGATGATTTGGAAGATGATGGTATGGCAGTGGTGTGGTGGTGACAATGGTGGAGCAGTGATGTTACGTCCCTGAGTTCCACTCCTGAGTTTGACAAGTTTTTGAGGAATAAAACAAAGAGATCAGACTGGCAGGTATCAAAATATAAATTTTTTACCAAAAAAGCTTCTATGGTTAATTTGGGGAATAGTGAATAAGGAAGCAGGGAGAACATAGATTTTTTTGGTTTGTTTTTGATTTTGTTTTACAGTGTGGGGAATAAAACTCAGGGCCTTGTGTATTCTAGGCAAGCACACTAACCCCCGAGTCACATTCCTGGAAGGTTATTTTAATACTTTTTGCCCCCAGTAGGGGTGTAAATTCATTCCGTTCTGGGTTAGCACAAATGGTAAAATGCAATTAACACAATAGTGAGGATTTGATTGTTCCTGTAACAGAGAGCTAGTAGATCACTGAAGAATCTGATTAAGGAGCATCATGATTAAAATTGCATTTTATGAAAATAAAATCTGACTTCTGAGTGCTACATAGAATGGAGAAGAGAAGGTCAACTGGAGGACAGTTGGGACAACTGTAGGGAAGTTTGGAAGCCAGTTACATGTGGGACATTTGGAACCGCATGGAGATGATGGTCATGAAAATAGCAAAGAGAAGTGGACAATAGGGCCACCAAAAATACCATGGTCTCTAGAACTCAGCAACTGAATAATAAGACTAATGAGAGCAAAAGAAGAGTTTGATATCTGGAATTTCAGTCCTAATTCATTTTAGAGATGGTTGTGGTAGGGAAATCAGGGAAATCAGTGGTAAATAACTGAGTTAATACAGAGTTCACTTTAGGCAGGCTTAGGGGAAGAAAATGTATTTTATTAAATATTTTATTGAACACTTCTTATGCATAAACCATGTGAGGAGGACACAGAAATGTTTGGTGAAATTTTAAGAGAAAAAAAATCATTAAATCTTGGTGGTTAAGATCATGATATATCATTTTGAGATGGATTTTGGATATGTTTGTGCTTTTATTAGCATTTTTATTAGAAAGAGATTCATGTTAATGATAGAAAATAGGAAAATACATGTAGAGACATTGATCAGAAATAATTGTGATATATATTTATACATATGTATAAATCTATAAACAAACACTGTATTTTAAAAATAAACTTTAAAAAATATTTGTTATGAACCTACCTGGAGGAAGTCTACGTGCATAGTAGAACAGGGTGCAGTTAATTCAGAGAACACCTGGAGTTCATGGTGCTTGGAAGGGAAGGTACTTTGTGGGGAGAAAACAAGAAATAACCCCTGCAGGAGACTGAAGCCATATGGCAGGCATATACAGGACCTCTGTGTTATCTCTCCACTGCAACATTTCTTAGTTATAGGCCCCTTTGTAAATGATTTTTTAAAATGACACATTTTTCCTTGCTGCCAGACTTACTATTGTGCATAATTTTTCATTTGAGGACAAGCCAATGGTACTGTTTTTCTTCCAGGTATATGGCTATGTAACAACTGCAGATGGCTATGCACCAGATTATCCACTCCCCTTGTTATTCAAAGTTGAAGATGATAATGATAATGCCCCATATTTTGAAACCAAAATGACAGTTTTTAGTGTGCCTGAAAATTGCAGATCTGGTAAGTTCACATATTAGGGTGGTATGATAAGAGGGAGGGGGGAGAAGGAGAAAGGAAGGGGATGTAAAAAGAATTAAGATGTGTTATGTACATGTACCAACTCCCTACAATGAATGTAAGCATTATGTACTGCAAAAACATGTGCTGATAAAAATAAAAATTTGAAAAAAAGGCTGACAATAAGTACTATAATTTAAAATGTTTAAATTCATCATTGCATTTTGTAATTTTTACGTATTTCTGATTGCATGCACTTTTTTCCAATTAGAAGTTGATGTTATACAACATCCCTGTTAAGGATCAAATAGCTGTGAGCAAATTGCCTTAAATTTAAGCAGATTCATAATATATATCATATCTGACTCAGTTCTCTGTGGGGTTGGTTGTTGCCAAAGTGCAGGTGGATGCTTAGCCTGTGGTGCGGGGAAGCTTGCTCGGTCTTCCATTTGGAAGAAGTCTCATGTTCATTACAGAAGGGACTAGCCCGGAATTCACAGAAAATATGACAAGGGAGTTATGAGGGCCAAGAACCATTTTGCTGGGAGAAGTTATTCCTTCATTTGTTCATGTATTCATTTTGTTCTTAATGATTATTTATCTAAGGATACCTGAAGGCTAAATGCGGGGAAAATTCAACTTTCCCTTTTGATCCAGGAGAGTGACAAAAGAATGTAACATTGAAAAAAAAAGATACGGGTACATTTTATGGGATCAAGCAATATTTTTAAACTGACACTTGAAATTCAGAGAGTTTGACTTTTGTAGGTTATATATGTGTGATATCAATATTTACTGAAATAATATCAGTGTTGCTTTTCTGAATTCTCTTTACTAAAAGATTGTTGCATATTAGCTTTCATTTTAGTCTAAGCTTTTAACCAGTCTCTAGTATGACAAAAGATTTAAAAAAATTTTGCCTCAGTTAAATTGCTCATCAATATTTTAAACAACCATGTAGAACACTGTAAAATGCTCGATTTTCAAGGATATACAATATATAGCTTCTGGTTTTATAAAACCGTATGTTTTGTAAAGATAAACTTTTTTTGTTCAATTTGCTATGCCTGCTTAAAAATACATTGTTTCTAACTAGCTAGATTAATCATAATGAATTTGAATGTGCAACAAGACAAGTGTTGTTTATATTCTCCATTTTTACCATGCAAATGTGTCATGGGTGTATTTATATCATTATGTAACTGGAATCTTTATAAAGATCTTATATATTTTCTAGGTCTCAGAAATATATATGGCATTATAACAACAGATGCATACTGATAAGATTTATAACAACATATATATTGCTTTTCTTGACATATTGTTCGAACAAATTAAAAAAATAGGTTAACTGGCTTGATGCTCTTTGAACCCAAGATTGTGACATAGGCATACAGAAAAGCATGAGATTCTTTATTTTAAAAATTTGCAAGAAATGGTCATTAGCTCTCATGACCTCTTCTATTCTATTGCATGTATGCACACATAAATAATATTTGTCTCACAATCAGTGGATTGTTACAACAGCATTCCTAATACTTTCATGTCTGTGTGATGAAGCTTGTCTCAATGATAGATTGGTGGATAATGCTTCTTACATAGATTAATAATTACTTCCATATATTAATAATTCAGAACATTTTTAAAATATAAAAATAAAATTTTTATTTTCAAATTCTAAAATACTTCTCTAATTAACATCATTAGATTGGACTGTAAGGGTGACAAAGAATACAGAGAAGGTCCCATTCAAAAATAGCCCATGCACTGGGGTAGTTGGTTGGGGGAAAGAATTTGAGAACTACAGTTAACAAGCATAGAGTAGGGACTGTCCTCATATGTGTGTAATAGAAGTCATGTTATTCATCCCCTAATTGAAGTTCCAAGGAAGAGGAGCTTGGAGATGTTTTACAGAACATTTATATACCCCTCAGATATTCTGTGAAACTCATCTTTTTTCCTTTTGGGTACAATTTGCTACACTAATGACTCAATGTTATTTTTTGCTTGTAATTCAATTATAGCACGATTTTAATTTTTGACAATAGTTGATTTATCTAAACAGGCACTTCTGTGGGACAAGTGACTGCTATAGACCTTGATGAACCTGACACGCTACATACTCGTCTGAAATATAAAATCTTGCAACAAATCCCAGATCATCCAAAGCATTTCACCATACATCCAGACACAGGTGTCATTACTACAACTACACCTTTACTGGACAGAGAGGTAACGTATTGGTCAATTAATTTTTCAGTCATTAAGCTATATAGACATTGATACTGAACTCCCAAGACAAGTTACAGTATGGCCATTGTGGCCTCCTCTCTAAGCATTTTTCTCTGGGTTGCAGAGACATTGGATCGGTACAAAGTATTAGAAAAGCCTCACTTGCTATCATTGACCTGATTTGATGTATTAATGTTAAAATTTATTTTATTTTGTTTTTAGTTTTTATAAAGTAATTTTATTTGACTCCAAAATATTTAATTTAAAAAATTAGTAAACTTCACTTGTTAAAGCAGTTTGAGGTTCATGGGCAAATTGGACAGAAAGTGCACATACTCCCTGTCTACCACATTCTCAGCCTACCCCAGGATTGACATCTGCACCCCCGCGGTACCCTTGCACAATCAGTGAAGCTATAGTGACACATCATTATCACCCTAAGGCCACAGTTTGCATTAGACTTGTTCTTGGATCTTTATATTCTGTGGGTTTGGACAAATGCATAAGAACATGCATCCACCACTGTAGTATCATGCAGTGATTTCATTGTTTTAAAAATCTTTTGTGCTCCTCCTATACATCTCTTCCTCCCAAACTCCACAAATCTTTTTCCTACCTCCATAGTTTTTACTTTTTCTGAATGTTATATGGTTGGAATCATACAATATGTAGCTTTTTCATATTGGCTTATTTCTTCCAGTAATTTACATTTAGATCCTTTTCATGTGTTTTTATGGCATGGAAGATCATTTCTTTTTAGTACCGAATAGTGTTCCATCGTTTGAATGTACCAGTTAATCCAATTACTCACTGAAGGACACCTTGGTTTTTCTCAAATTTTGGCAATTATACAAAAGTACCTTTAAATTTTGAAATGCTGTAGTAGACATCTCAGCTTCTGATTAGCTGACTGTATTGATGCAAATATCTTGTTTTGTATTTATGTTTATGGTGTTCTTTAAAAAAAAACAGCTGCCATTTAGGGCTAGGGTTGTAGATCAAGGGTGGAGCATATGCTTAGCATGCCCAAGGCCCTGGGTTCAATATATATTACATATATATTTTTAAATAATATTTGTAAAATAATCGCAGCATGAAGAGTGGCTATAGTAATTGCAAGTTATAGGAAATAGTGTACATGAATCTACCTTTTGATTTTTTTTTCAGAAATGTGATACTTACCAGTTAATAATGGAAGTGCGCGACATGGGGGGCCAACCTTTTGGTTTATTTTCTACTGGAAAAATTACTATTTCACTTGAAGATGAAAATGACAATTCACCATATTTCACACAAGCTTCTGTGAGTACATGTATTCCTCTGATTCATTTATCTGGATTTACTTTTTCAAAACAAACGTAGAATTTGTTAGTCCTGTGAAATCACACACTTTGGGTTAAATAGCTTCCATTTACAAATAACACAGAGAGGAAAATGATTTTGGCAAGAATAACCAAGGCACCAGTTATTTCTCTTTTTTTAAAAATTTATTCATATATTTTAGGTATACAATATGATGACATTCATCATTGGGAATTTGTACCTTTACATGATATATCTTGGTTCTTATTTTTTCCCCATTCCCCTGCCCTCCCTTCTGATGCCACAGAAATAGCAATGTTCTGGGTCCCTATGAACTGCTTAATCTTTGATGCAGCTCATGTGGTTCCTCTTTTCTGGACTGTTCAGAGCAGATTCCTTGGACTTAAATTATTTTATAAGGTGAAGAAGAAAGGTCCTCTCTCTGATGTCCTTTGGTTTTTTTAAATGAGAAAGAAACTAGCTTCTTATATTCTGCTGGAGTTTAAATTTATGCTGCGCTCCCTTATCCCTTAGCAAACTTTCTCTTAGACTGTAACAAGGAAATGATTCTTTTTTTCCTGAGCTTTTAATGAGTAACCTTTTTCTTCCATTAACTTATACCAAAGTATAAGTCAAAAAATGAAAAACCTACAACCATCATGATAGTCAGTCCTGTGATGTTTTTACATTAATTCCTACAATGTATGAAGATATATTTTATTCTGTATTTTATATGGATAAATGGAAGATACGTCAATAACTTGTCCAAGATCTCATAAATGATTTACAAGGAATAACTAGTATTCAAATCTAGATCCAAATGCTATCATCCTTCTATGAATTCATTTTACATCTCTAGCAGACTTGAATTTATTACCTTTTTTATTCTTTTAATAATTTATGCTTCTTGTAATCATATTTCTTCTGTGGGGGAGAAGTTTATGATTTACTTTCTCAAAAAAAACCTTTTCCTTTAAAATATTTATTATTGAATCGAAAGAAAATTTTTAAAATAGTAATGTGAAAGTAAGGTATCCATGCAAGGACCTGAGTTCAATCCCTAGTACCAAAAAAATAAAAGAAGAAAGTAAGTCATCCAGTAATAAATCAATATATATTCTCATTATGTAAAAATACTGAGTGCTCAATATATTAATACAAAGGATGAACTCAGTGCTTGTGTTTACTTCATCTAAAATGGAGAATAAATTATAAATACTGTAGAAGTTCTGAGAAAAGACAAATCTGAGGGCTAGAAGGTTCTGGAAAATCATGTCAGAGAAGTTCAGAAGTTAAGATTTGTGTAGAATTTGGAAAAGATTTGAAAAAACAGTTTAAGAGGAAAAAATAAGCTATGCATTAAACTTGTAAATCCTTTCTCAATATGTGAGGATACATGTCCATATCATTTTTTCTTTTTCTTTAATATAATTTTTAGAGTAGAAAACAGTACTGTTAAAGCTATAGATTTATAATGTAAGATGGCATTTTCCCCCCAGTATTTTACAGAAGTAGAAGAAAACAGAATAAATGTTGAGATTTTACGGATGAAAGTGCAGGACCAAGACTTAGCAAACACTCCTCACTCGAAGGCTGTATACACAATCCTACAGGGAAATGAAAATGGTAACTTCAAAATTACCACGGATCCAAAAACGAATGAAGGAGTCTTGTGTGTTGTCACAGTAAGTAAATAAGATAATGAAGTTATGCTTTAAAGCATTCTAATTTAGGCTTGTGCATTGATATTAAAAAATAACTCCATACATACATGGCTACAATGTTGCAGTAATGCTGATATCATTGGTTTACACAAACTTATTTCTTTTATTAAAATTGTCCTTATTTATTTTCTTGGAAGAAACATGACTTTCCTCCTGTCAGGCAAAAAGTTCATTGTTCTATATATAAAGAAAACAAAAGCCAAGAAATATTAAATATTAAATCAGATATTTTCCTCAGAAGAGATTTTAGTTACTGGCTCCTCTCTGAATTCTGCTAACCATAGACCTCACTAACCTCTTGCCTATATTCTCTCACTATTTTCTTAGAGACATCGGGTGTTCTTAGACACTTCATGGAGGAATGGCGTTTTCTGCTAAGATTTTCATAGTGTTATTATATTATATTACATATTCTTTCATTCATTTATTTTCTTTTTTGCCTTCTGAATTTTTCTTTTGATTTTTCTTTCACCTTCTAAATGTTGTCTTCAGAAGTCTTTTAATTATCTAGTTTAGGACTGAGCACTTTGTGTAGAAATTCAGCAGACTCAACTCTAAAGTGCTGTGAAGAAATTCTGCTAAGTAATGTCATATATCTTTCCATTTAAATATTCAGAGCAACTGTTTCTATATAGTCAAATATCTGTAGGATTATTTTATGTGTTACCTTGAAAGGGTTTTTGTTATTAGAGTTATCTCATATGATGGGAAATGAAATAATGTGAATATTTAAAAACATTTTTTCTGGATTTCTATTAATAAACTATAATGAGAATAGTGAAGTTAAGATCTTTGGAAAATGAGAAAAAAAATGATTGACTCCTAAAATCAATAATTTTACATTTGACAGTTTTAACATTGTAGGAAACTAATTACTAACCTATATTAGCACCAACCTTTTGTAACATTTTAAATGTAAAAATGATATTGCCTTTGTGTTAAAACTTGGAATCTTAATTATGTCTTCTGTATAGTGATACCTATTGACTGATAAAAATATGTTTATTGAACAGCCATTGAACTATGAAGTCAATCGCCAAGTTATTTTGCAAATTGGTGTGCTTAATGAAGCACAATTCTCTAAAGCAGCGAACTCACCACTTCCTACAATGTGTACTACAACTGTCACTGTTAAAATTAAAGACAGAGATGAGGGGCCTGAATGTCAGCCACCAGTAAAAGTGATTCAGAGCAAGGATGGGCTCCCTGCTGGCAAAGAACTCCTTGGCTACAAAGCACTGGACCCAGAATCACGCAATGGCGAAGGCTTAAGGTGATATACTTTTCAAAAGCTCCTTAATTCTAATAGAGTCCAAGTTGATTTTAAATTTAGGAAAGTTCTATGTATATTTCAAAATGACAGGTTTTAAGATCATGTCTTCTCTTCGACTTGATTACTTATCTTTGATTTCTATAAATTAGGTATAAGAAGGTACAAGATGAAGGTAACTGGTTTAACATTGATGAAAACACTGGAAACTTGAAAACTGTAAAAGTACTAGATAGAGAATCAAAATTTGTAAAAAACAACCAGTACAATGTCTCAGTAGTAGCGATGGATGCAGGTGAGTGCTATTTTCTAGAAAGAAAATATAAATATAGAATATATTTCTAAGAAAACTTGTTTGAAATCTGTTTATTTCCCAATTTTAATGCAAGTAGTATTTTCATTAATATAATCACAATGCATATTGCAAAACATTACGATGGCTTATTTTATTGGAGCCACCCAAATTGGGTGGCAGTGCATCTGCAAGGCAAAGCTACAAGACAGTAAATGGCCAAAGTCTAAGTTTGTAGGATTGGATTATTTGATTTATGCTGAGGAAACGGTGGCATATTTAAGGATCTCCAATTTTTTCATGAGTACAGGTTTACATCTTTATGGTTTGAATATGGCGAACAAGTTCAACCTACCTAAAATACTTAGGTTCTAGGTAGGTTTGTTTGAAAGCTGTTCTTAATGGAAAGCAAATCATTTATCCTATTTCTTAAACAAAGGAGCAAATGATGACTCTTTTTAGCATGGTTTGCAAACTCTGAGGTTAAATCTAGAATCTATTTTGGAAAGAATGTTCTTCAAATATTGTAGTGATCATGAAACCCTTTTAAACATATACCCCTCTCAGTAAATCATTTTAATATATTTGTAAGTGTTAGGAAGTGTTTGCTAGTATGTTTATTTAATCTACATGTACCACTATGCTAATGTACTTTATATATCAAAAGACATACACAAAATAAATATAAAAATATAAATAGAAGTTACAGTATTTTACTCTATCATACTGATTACACACACACCCATTTGAGACAACTGGGCTTTTCTGACAGAGCAGATTCTTTTGATTCTCTACCTAACCAAGAAGGTTTTCACTGTTTTTATGTACATAAGCTTGGATGTTCAAATCAAACTAGTTGATACAGTAACGCTATAGCCCATCTTTAAAACATCATCGATTGTCTTAATGAATGGGCAAATGTAGAAATGAATACATATCAGATTACATGGAAATTAACATAAGTTGAAAGTAAGTCGTGAAAGTTCGTGTTTAATAATTTTGTCTCGATATTTTGACAATAGAAGATCCATAAAATGTTTTCTCAGATAGTATAATCCTTTTCTTCTGCTTTCTTAAAACAAAAGCTTCTAGACTGCATTATTTTACATGCCTTCCACCTAGAGTATCATAGCCTTTTCTGTTTGAAATCAAGCTCTTTCAAGTGTTCAAATGAATGGCAATACCAACTTCTGTGATTGTTCCTACTAGTCTTTGGTCGGTCCTTATTGCCTTTTAATCACTCTTGCACTGGGCAAAATATGCTAGAGTGGTGACTAGCATACTCTAAAGTGCTCTAAAAGGGTACTTTTGTTGTTCTAGTGTGTATTCTGTTCTTCTAACTTGCTTTTGAGTCAATTTTGTACAGGCACCCTTCATCTTTGATTAAACCTTTCCTTAAGAAGCCTCTAGTAGAGAGTTTGGCATATGTTTGTTTAATGTGGATACTGAGATCTATCATTCCTCTACTCTTTGAGAGTCCTAGGTCCAGGTTGTAAAGTTCACTAATTCAGGGAGTATCTTTGGTAGCAGTTGGAACAAATGATTTCAATGTAGAAAATTGGGCTTAAAAATTGCAAAATAATCTCTTATTTTGAGCTTCTATAAAGGAACTTTCTTAAAATAACAAATACTGTAGGGCTGTAATGCAGAAGTGATAAACATTTTGTGTGTAGAGTCTAAAATGAACACAGTTGGAAATTAATAAGAGGCATAAGAAAAAAGAACTTAAAATCTTTAATCATGCAGCGGCCTGATTCACAACGTAGTGAGCTTCTGGTTTCTTAAAACACTTAAATATCAATGGAGAATTAATATTTTTCCAAGTTCCCTTTGTTGACGTGTCATGAGATTGGGGTTATTTAACCTTTATGTACCTACCAGCTCTGTGACTGTGACATTTCCTACTCATCAATACTTGTCATTTGCTCGTGTACTTAATTTTAAAGTAAGTTTTGAAGTAGACAAATATATCTAGTTACTTTATCATGATGTTCATCCATTATCAGTAATTACTTACTTTTGGCTCTGGTGAAATGTTACATTGAGCTCTTTGTAGTTTTGCAAATCTAAGACTTTATTTTCAGGTCTGGCTTTGGCTGATATCTATTTTAGTAATTTCAAGTATCTTTTATTCTGTTTTAATCAGTCAACTTAGAACAGAAATTATGATAGCAAATATTTTTATCTGGTAAATGTTAGTTGAATACAAGATAAAATGAATCTTTGCTTTCCTGAGGTTGCCATACATTGCTAGATGTTTAAAGTGTGATTTCATTCTACTTTTTCCATCAAGAGAAAGATCTTCTGCTTAAATTTAAAAGGCAAAATTATAGAACACATGTCAACTCTGTAACAATATTTTTGTTGTGCAGTGTCTATAACAACAGTTTTTTCCCCGTTCCCTTGCCCTCTCTTCACCCCCTCCACCCTTCCCTATTTGCAAAGACTTTGTTTCCACTTTTTTACTTTTCTCATATTTTTTCTTTTCCCTTTTTTCCTTTCCCCTACCCCTCCAACTTCCCCTGCTCCTTTAGACCTTTACTTCCTGTTACACAATATCAATTATACATTTTTAAAATTACAATATCAAGATCTAGGAGACATTATCACAGATTTTACAGAATTTAAAAGGATAT